AACATTGGTCGGTCAGAGTATATATATTCATATAGATCAAGTCCTTCATCAGGGTGCAGATGGAGGAATATATATAGAATTAAGGACAATTATTTAAAAATAAATAAATAGAATGACCAGAGTGTTTATGCAGAGTATTAAATTGTACACAAATGTAAAATTATAAATAATTCTACATAAAGTTAGAGATAAGTAATACATAGTTCAAAAAAATATATAGTTGTTTCGTCTATTTTGTGCACGTATAGCACTTCCCAATATAGATGTAATCTACTTTACCCAATAAAATATTTCTCTCATTTGATTGAATCAGAGAAGATTGCTGACCATCTTTGTCATATCTATATCTACAGTGATTTAATTATATTTCCTTAACAATGAAGATAATAAATTTAAGATGAAATTCATATAAAATGTATGCAAAATTAATTCTCAAGTAGAATAACCGCATTTTTTTAACCGTTAAAGATTGGTATATGCTTAGGTAGAGAAAATTCAGAAAAAATGAAAATAAAGAATTTAATTTTTACACATCATTTGCCAAAATTATATATTATTAACCAATAACATTAATATAAATAAATTTAAAAGTAATTATTATACATGACATATTGTGATTGAATGACACTATGCTGATGCATTTTAATTTAAAAAAAGATTGAACAATATTATTGAATTTTTTTTCAAAAACTCGTTAATAATGCATCCACATTTAGTTGATATTAGGATATGAAAACAATGATTTTATAAATAAGTAAATAAGTGCTGTCAAATTAATCCTTTTAAAATCATTTATTAGTTTCTGAGAGTTATTTTTATTAAATTAGTCATTTAAAATAGATAATTATTAAGTTCCTTCATTTGAAAAACTAAAATGGTAATTTAAGATGAAAATTCAATTACAATTTGCATTTTAAAATATTAACTTGGTGAAAAAAATTTACTAAAAACTAATTGCAATATTTTAGCCTCTGAAAAAAAATTAAAAAACCTTAGACCAATAAATCAGGAAGATCCTGGTTTTGGAAAGCAAAATGGACAGGTACTTGTTTTTATTTTCTTCAACACAAAGGTAGTCTTTTACTTCCGTACCAAAATTTCTTTATGTTGTGTTTGGATAAGTCATTTCTAAAATTCAAGGAGTTGTGAAGTTGTTTATAAATTGTGTGTTGATCTATGATATTGTTGAACCATGTTGAAATTAAGTTGATAAAATTGTTTTATGTTATGTGTTGACTGTCTATATTTTGTGAAATATGATGAGATGATCTAGTGAAGAGTTGTGAAGTACATGATGATAAAGTTGTGAGTTGTGTGAAGTTTGTAGAGGTGTTGAGACGATACAAAAGTTATTAGTAGATTGTGTTGCTAAGTTGTTAGATGAGAGTTGTATGTTGTACTTTGTGTTGAAAAGAGATTAATTTGTCATGGTTGAGTTATAAATTATGAATTGAGATGTTGAGTTGATAGTTGAGCTGATGAGATGATAATTGTGTTGTTTAAAGTTGAAATGAGATGTTGTGTTGTTAAAATGTGTTGTTAAACAGTGTTGATGAGTTGTTGTGCTGATAAACTATGTTGTTCAAGTTAAAAGTTGACTGAGATGATGAGTTGAAAACTGTGTTGATCGTGCTGTGATGATAAGTTGTTGATCACTAGGACTAGCGGAGATGTTTTCAAAGTTGTTCATCTCATTGTGTGGATTGAGATAATTGTGGTGCTCTGAGAGCCTAGTTTGTTGAGAAACCCTCATTGAAAAGTTGTCCCTTGGAGTGGATGATGTGTTGTTCTCCTCTAGGACTCAGTTGGTCCCGTGTGTGGACAAGGTCGAGGCACACGTGTATGAAGCGACCACGGTATAGGGGCCAAGCCGAGTTATACCGATTATAAGGGCCAATATGAGTAAAGTACAAAGTTGGGAACTTAGTTCCTAACCGAGTATCGGAGGGTTGTAGTATTTGGAGAATAGTCGGTAGACTAATCCCATAGGTGACTTAGTTAAGCTAGTTAATGTCGTAGTAGGTCTAAACCCAACTGTTCTATCCTGATAGAGTACTATACTTCTTTGTTTAAGTGGCAAAGCCTAAGAAATCGTTATCGTGTTGTGAATTTCTATCCAAATTTGTTGTTTATCTAGCAAGCCCAAAAAGGTTCTGTGTCGGTTCGGTAGGACCTAGCCACGTAGACTACTCACCACGTTTTAGGAGATCTTCGAGTTGAAATGCGTGACGACGCATAAGTTGTTGATGTGTTGATTTTGTGTTGATTTAGTTGCATATCTGTTGTGATGTTGTGAAGCTATGATTAAGTTGGGTGTTGTTATGTGTTGAACGTTGAACTGTTGAAAATGTTGTTTCTATTGTTGAAGTTATAAGTTGTTTATATCTATATGTTGATTATTTTTACTAGCTTACCCTTGCATGTTTCCATATAATTTGGACTGTGATAATCATATTATGTATGGGAGCAAAGCAGTGATAGGCTAGAGAGTAGTGATAGTATCACAGGTGGTGACTGGAGCTGATCTTTTGTGTAGGCTACCTTGGTATAACATTTTGATAATATTAGATACTTGACTTGTTGAGCCTAAAACTGGATATATGTATATATATTCTATTCTTGCATGATATTATTCTGCAGTGTAACGGCCAAGCGAGTCATTATACTTTTCGTTGAAATTAGGTAGTTCTAGACAACATAAGTAAACCAGCAGCATCAAGAGAATGCCAGACATAATAATTGGTTCGAATTTGCGTCTGACCAAAAACATCTAAAGGAGATTCATCATTCTTAGTCGCACAACAGTTTGCTTTTATGTTAGTATTGTGCACGACTGGTCCTCGTTTATGTTTTGTTTCACTCAAATTGAAACCAATGTTGGGATTCCACGTCAATTACATCCGTAATGAATATGATTAAAATATTGTATATAGATAAAAGTACTTTTTTATTTTATAAACTGATTTTGTAAAATCTCATAATAATCATTATTGAATCTATCGAGTCATTTATTATTATTAAACAACTTATATTTAATTTTAAAATTTTCATGTTCAATTCTAAAGTAAAAAAGCTGCATTAGAAGTTTCACGCTTGTTAATGTTCTCGATGATTATTGTTGAACTTATCATTTTATTGAGTACACACGTTCAATACGTGGATTCAACAAATAAATTCACGTCCATGATGCAAAAGTTATAACTCGGAGTGTTGGATTTAACGTGGAAAATCACGTCCATAATAATTACCAAACACACTATCATTATTAGATTGTTATTTAGTTCTATATAAAAATATCACGTTTGATCTAGATGTTTATTTATTTATGTGAAAGATATATTAAAAATTATACATCAACTAATAATATAATACAAGAGAAGATGAGCAATTATAAACCCTCAAGTCAACTTTGAATGGTTAACTTAAATTAGTTTAAGATGAGAGGGTCATTTGCTATTTTGTTAAGCCAATAAAGGCGTTTCCACCAATTCGGTGCGCTTTTGTACTCTTGCAAGTGTCCCTTTGCATAAAAATCACCATCTTTTTTGTACAATGGTGCTAAATATCATATCGAAGTACAGAAGGTGGGAAAGTAGTAAGAAATTTCCTTTGCTCTTTATCTACCTATATATATGTATTGCATATATAGATATCCCAGTTGCACAAGAATTTGTTGATGAGTTTTGGCAGAGAAAGCAAGATGAGCAATCGTTTGCTTCACTACTCTTTACTTAAGGAGGTAATGCCTTTGTATTCCTTTTACGTGTTCTAGTTAAAGTTCTGTTTGAGTTTATACAAGTAGGTATAAGAAGTACCATATGCATGTATTTTTAAAAACAAAAAATCGTTTTTTGGCATATATGTTGTGTTAGGAGAAGATTATTTCTTTGGAATTGTATTGTTTTTAGGATGTTAGTTAATCATATAGATAAGGTCGAGTGAAGTATATTTTAATTAAGGCTTTAAATTGTGAGTTACCTTATCAATATTACCATTTGTAGTTTTGAGAGGTGTGGGATTTAATTTGTTATTTTATTCGTCTAAAAGATCAATATATATGTATGGTGGTTATATATAAATAAATATTATATTTAAATATATATAAATTATATTTAAAATATATACATAAATATTTTTAAATATATAAATTATATTTTAAATTTATGATAAATAATTTATATAACTATGGAGAAAGGTACACACTTTCTTATTATTATGTGAGTATCATGAATTTCAAAGATCCTTTAATTTTCTATAATTGATGTATTAGAAAATAATAGAACTTACATTGGCATGATAGATGGGTTGTAAACATGTAGTATGAGTTGTGTTATGTGGTGAAAATGTTATGTGTTACTAACATATGATTAAATATTTATCAATGATGTTGTTGGTGATGCTTTTGTGATGAAGATGGGATGTAAAATGAGATGCAGGTTGTAGTTAAGTTGTGAAGTTGTTTACAAGTTGTGTGTTGATCTATGATATTGTTGAACCATGTTGAAATTAAGTTGATAAAATTGTTTTATGTTATGTGTTGACTGTCTATATTTTGTGAAATATGATGAGATGATCTAGTGAAGAGTTGTGAAGTACATGATGATAAAGTTGTGAGTTGTGTGAAGTTTGTAGAGGTGTTGGCTCATCATATCCGTACCCCTCACGTCCACTTCGAAATGAATGCAAAATTTGCGGGTCAAACTCTCTAAAGATAATAATATCACACAAATATGGCTAACATACCAGCTTTGTCGTCTTCGGCAAAAACAAAGCCACAATAGTTATTTGCGCAAAGATACCGAAATTAATGGTCAAGTTAGTAACAACTTCAAAAAAAAATGGTACATCATACCAACCCTTATAGGCTCCACATGCCTTACAATTTTGGGTTGATGTTAGAAACCAACTTGGATAGCAATAAGTGGATTCTACGTTTTTTGAATTTCAGTGACAACTTATACTAGACCAAAAATATCTCTGTAAGGTTACATCATGATATCTTAACAACCAAACAGAGATTTGAATTTCAGTGATGTAACAACTCACAAGAAAATAAAACATGATCTTAATGGTGACAATCAAAACCAAGAAATGAAATCCGGTGATGTAAAAACTAACAAGAAATAAAACAAGTCAAAGAAATTGTATCATAGTTAGTCTCAAAGCTCAAATTGATGAAAAGTTCAACTAGGAGCTGCAAATTAATCTACAGAAGCTATAGCTATGACTAGAAGAAACTCTATTAATGGACAAAACTTCCAATTTAGACTTCATTCTCCCCCATGCATGCTTGAATACCAATTTCATTAATCAAGTTTTTGTTTCTGATATCTCATTTTCTATGAGATTGATGCAATATACACGTGAACCAAAATGCTTCACATTTAGACCAGCTTTCTCACAACCATTGAAGAAAAGCAATTCATCTTCCTTCCCAATTCTGCGTCTCCAGCTCATTAGAAAGGCTGGCCGTGGCAACACTACATCTCCTGTCAACACAAGATTCAGTAAAGATGCAACCTTGAGTAGCTCAAGCGTGTTAGTTAAAGGGGTCTCTGGCACTATACCGTCTTTCTCATCATTGTCAGTTGGAGATGTTTCTCTCCTATCTCGGGGCTTATAACATTTGAGAAGAAAGGAAATGGTCTGTATCAAATTTGCATACTGTTTTACATCTGCAAACGTTTAAGATTTGAGACAGATACAAGGGACTGCTTCAATATGTAATAATCTCTCTTTCTCAATGAAAGAAAATCAAGAGAGAAAAAAAATCATAAGAGGAGATCAGAAACACAAATTAAAACATTTCCCAGAGCATGATCAGGAAACTTGTCTGGTAATTGACAAGGAGTAATGCTACATGTACAACAAATATTCAGTGTTAAAGATATACTGGTAATTTTACTGGTTTACAAACCAGTAGCAACGGCAGGCTATTCCTTAATTGATATATTTCATTAGTGACAATGAACTAATGTTCAGTTTTAAAAATAAAAAATAAAAAAGAGGGGGAGGGGGTTGGATAACCAAGTTAGTAAAAAGATAATAATCTTACACAATAAGATATCACTTGCAATAATCAGGTCCCAGTCAGGTTCAGAATTTGGAAATTTGTCTCCCCAGGTGTCTGAAAATACAAGCACAATTAGTATTTGCAATAGAAAAATTAATAACAGAATCAAAAGTAATATAAAGAACATGTAAAATGATGTAGAATTAAATACGTGAGATTAATAAGTTTACATATGCATATATTTACATTAGGTATAATATTAATTATAATCACCTACTAGTCAGTAACAGCTAATACTACTAACCATCATGTGCTTATTTCCAACAACTCATCATACATGTCCTTATTTCTAACCTCCCCCTCAAGTAAGAGCATATATGTCACATGAGGCAAGCTTGCTACAAATGCTACAAATGAAGTCAGCCCAAGGCCCTCTAATGGAATTATAAATAAATCAACAAAGTAGTTATCAGAGTTGACAACACCAGTAGTAGTCTTGTCAGATAAAACATTTTCTCTGACAAAATGACAGTTAATCACTATGTTTACGGTTCTCATAAGAAAGATTGGGTTAAAAGCAATATGTTTGCAGCTTGGTTGTCAAAAATCAGTTTAATTTCCTTTAACGACTCCCAACTTGAGCTACAAAAGCAATATTTTAACCATGCAAGTTCACAAGTTACTGCCACCAACGCACGACACTTGCAACTAGCAACTATGTTTAGTTTCTTAATCACCCAAGAAATTATCTCCAACAAACACACAAAACCCTGAAATGATCTTCAATCTGATGATGAATCTGCCCAAACAGTATTAGAATAGGCAACAACTTGAGCATTGCCAATGTTTTCATGAAGTAACCCATTTTACCTGATGCATTGTTGATGTATCTAAATGTAAAGTACTAATCATCCACATGTAGGAGACAATAACATAAAGCAAGCAGATTAAATCAAAGGCAGCAAGTTTTGTTAACTAAGCAATGATAAGGCTCAAATACAAAATTGTTTTATGTCATAAAAGGTTTTGAAGTACAACCATAAGGGAAACTAAACTAACTAGCCAGAAAACAGAGTATCACCACTTTGATACCCATCTCAACAGCTAACTAAGAAGCATAAGACAACTAGGTCAATTGAAAGAAGACTCACGTTTTATGTGAGGAATGACAGGTATTTCATTTGCCCTGCAGTTATGAGCTATGTTCTTCTCTATTTCTTGATCATCATAGTCTGAAGTTGTAATATCAAGATTATATGATTTCCGAAGAAATATGGCCAAAGCACCTGTGCCACTGAAATTGGATACCACATGAGCAAGGAAAAAGAAATCAATTTTCTGCAATGTGGAGATCTACAGACATGGTAATACACTCCCATAAGAAATGCAGTTAAGTGACTTAAGTCTGGTAGTCACAGAAACCGAGAGTGATTATTGATATATGTGCAGCTGGATGCAATCATAGGATCAAGTTAAGATCCCTTCAGTAAGAAAATTTTGAGTAAAACTTCTATGCTTTGCAAATAACTATATCTTAGACCAATAAATTAATGTACAAGTACCTCCCCAGCTCAATGGCACGCCGTCCTTCAATGCATGACCTGTGCTGAACTAACCATTCTGCAAATGCAAATGTCCCTGGCCAGAGTAAATTAGCATTTAGTTGATGAAAGGAAAATTCTCGGATAATCAACTCCTGCATAAAAGATAATGGAGTAGAGCAACTCAGACCAGTACATTACAAGTTAATGCTAAAAAAACCTCAAACATGGACATAATTAAATAAGTTTGGAAATGTTTTAAGTCCTATCAAGATATGTAGGTTCTAGTTTGGAAATAATCAATATCCAATTTGAGAGTTAAGCTTAGTTTGGAAGAGAATCTTAACATTCCATGATGCTCAACAGCCTTGGCGCTCATGCAGGCTGGCCCACATATTTTTATGCAGATTTAGATATGTGTTTTATACGTATCATATCCTTTATACTTTTAGAATAATTGTATTGCTGTATCAAATGTGTAACATATCTGATATACATATCAAATATGCACATCATAGGCAGGCAGCGCACTAATCCTTTGACTAATCTAGGGTGAATTCTACAGTGTTGGGTCACCATCCATGCCCCCTCATTTGCAACTGAGACAAGATTTACAAATGGTTTTGCTGAATTGCTCGAGGAAAATAACCACAACAAGCTATATTATGTTAACAAGATTTACAAATAAATCAAAATACACATAATACTGATACAGTCCCTAAACAAAAGATATTTCCCTGAATGGGAGATACTTTTTGACAATCTTCCACAAGTTGGAGCATATAAATCATATGCAAATGCACCAAACTTGTTATAGATGAATTGAATCTGAGGAAGTCAAAGACTATGAGACTTTGTAAGAACATCTTAAGATGATCACTAGAATTGACAAACTCAAAAACAATTTCCATAGAGAGAAATTTCTCCCTGACAAAGTGACAAAATTGACAATCAATCTCTATATGCTTGATTCTTTCATGAAAGACTAGGTTAGATGGAATATGAAGCGTAGCTTGATCATCAGAGTACAGTTTTATTTTATCAATGCTATCAAACTTCAACTAACAAAGTAACTGCATTACCCATTTAAGTTCACAAGTAGCCATTGCCATAGCTCAAACTCAATACTCAACCTCTGCACTAGATTGAGCAACAATATTTTGCTTCTTACTTTTCCAGGGTATGAGATTTCCACCAACAAAGACAATATTCTGTACTAGTAGATCGCCTATCAATGAGGGAATCAGCCCGGTTTGTGTCTGAATACCCCACCACACAAGTGTATTTCCTTTGTCTTTAATATAACATTCCTTGACCCAAGGCATTTTTAACACATCATAAAAATCAGTGTATTTCTGTGATCACCACAAGATGATAACACAAACTCACCACACTTACTGCAGGAAAAAGTTTTCCGGGTCTACATACTGTAATATAGTTTTGCTTCCCAACAAACTTCCAATACCTGCCAGGATTGGAATAAAGCCTCTGATCTGGCAATAATTTGCTGTTTGGATCCATTGGGAGTATCAATGGGTTTACAACTTATGATACCAATTTCCTCCAATAAATCCAAAGCATATTTTCTTTGTATAATCACAATGCTGTTCCATGAGTAAGCCACCTCAAGACCAAGGAAGTATTTTAGTTTTCCCAGGTCTTTGGTTTGGTTGGAAGTGGAAAACAAATACAAATACTTCATCAATTCAAATATTCCCTCGTGGTCATCATATGTAATAACTCATAACTATATCACCACATAAACCACCAAATAAATGTACCTTCAAAATGTATGTCAATGAAAAAACTAAATAATGAGCTTCACTTCACATTATATCAAATTCCTGCAAAATAGTACTAAACTTATCGTATCAAAATAGATGAGACTGTTTTAAACCCTAGAGAGATCATTTGAACTTGCACACCAAGCCTGACTCCTCCTAGGCAACAAACCAAGTGAATATTAATCTTTACTTCGCTTGTTTTCATCCCAAACTTGCTTAAACAATGGGTGGATTTCCAAAAAAAAACAGTATGACACTAAGATCTTCCTAAAAGAAATAGTTTCTTTCTAAGACTAAAGAGACCCTACATCGTCAGAACATCTCCATTTCCTATATACTCAACAATATTATTCATCATTCACTAGTTTTCAATATTTTCCTCTTCCAAACGGTAAAACACTTCAGCTCAAGTTTTGAACCTTCCAACACATCAAATAGCATTCCCATTGAAGCAACTCTACCAGCACCATTACAAGCTCACAGCTGCTCTAGCAACAAGACTCTCATAGCAACCAACCCAATAAAAACAAAACATAAACATCCCTCTCAATTGCAACATCCCCTTCCTAAAGTGCACGGTACTTTATCCAAACCCTTCAACAATACCCCAACTAAACTAAAACTTTGAACATAATACGAACCTGAAACTGACAGTCCCCAGAACAAACCCACATGAAGAAATCTGCTTAAACATCTATTAAAGGTGGAAACTTTACCATCCCAGGAAACTGGTGCTTCCTCTCGACATAGCTCTCCTCAGTGTCTGCATTTTCCTCACCTGCATTCAAAACCCAAATTGTCCCACAACGTAGAAATGGATTAAGAAGCTAATAGAAGAAGATAACGAGAGAGAGAGATTACGAGTAGCAATTTCATCTTCGGAGAAGAGGGATGATGGAGAGAAGATAGCTATATCCATTTGTAGGTGGCGATTAGTGATGGAACATGAAATTGAAAAGCTGGTGAAGCTAACTAGATTACTCTTTGGCTGCTTAGTCACTTTTCTGTTGTTAGTGATTTCGTTTTGGAGTTTTGGGCATGGCAGTGGGATTGCACAGGTGCGGCGTGTTTTGCCATGACTTGGTGGCACGGTGTGCGATTCCTTTTGCTCAGGGAATAATTATTTTTTTTGAAAAATATATCAAAAATTATTTTATTTTATTTTATAACTAGTAATTTATTGGAAGTAACTATATAAAAATAAATAAAAATAATAATTAAATAGATGATTACTTAGAAACTTATTGAAAGTAAAAAAAAAATAGAAATTAAATAAAAAAGACAAATGAGAGAGAAGGATAGTAAGAGATTTTTTTTTAAAAAAAATAAGAAAAATTACAAAGATGGTGGCAATGAAGATTGAACCTAGGTTCTCATGTTTCTAACTACTTCAACCCTTTCCCACTGAACCACTAGACTAACCCTAATAGTTTAGAAAGATAGTAAGAGATGGTAGTTTGAAAATATAAAGGTACAATAATTTAAATTTTGTGTATGTTAACATATGTTATTATTTTTATACATTGTTATAGATTATGGATAATAATTAATAGTAATTATATATTATATAACTATAATAATTGTAATTATATAAATTAATTCATATCTAACATAAATTATAAATGAAACAACAAACTAGAAAGCTTCTATGGTGAAGCTGATGGAAGAGCATGGGCCAAAGGCCCAACCACTAGAGCTATGGCCAGGAGATTACTTGAAGATTTGTCTGCTTCAGAGTTTAGTGGGCTTGGTGGGCCTAGGGTGCTTCTCACATGGACCTTACCTTGTAAAAAAATATTCGCAGAAATTTTTTCAAATTTTCCTACAAAAAAATATTCGTAGAAATTTTTTACGAATTTATTTGCGAAAAATAATTTACAGATATTTCTTACAAAATTTGCTACAATTTTAATAATCATAGAAATTTTTTTCAATGGTAAAAATTTGCAGAAAATATTGTAAGAATTTTATTTTGTTTCTTGCAGATTTTCTCGCAAAAATAAATTCACAAGTAATGTTTACTAAATGGTAGAAAAATTTTGCAGGTAACTTTTCCTGCGGATTTT